GGGCCACAATGCTTTTTAGGATCTCCTGGAATCAGTGTCAACTCAGAACCAGTATCCAATAGACCGCGGAATGTCTGGGAAGGATAGGTGAGAGGCGAACAGCATAACTCTTTGGTACTGTAACAAGGTCCTACCTCAAGGGCACCAGCCTTCCCTTCATTCAAGGGGTTCTGGGTCTCTAAACTGTCTCAAGTCTGGAAATTGGCTGACTGAGCGAGATTCTCTATTGCTACAATCCAATACTGACTTCCTGTCATTCGTCCTAGAGCTTTTCTGCTTATATAGATCAAATAAAAACTTAGTAGGCTTCTTATGTATGTGGTCCCTGGAAACACCATGATTGATTAGCCAGTACCACAGGTCCATTCGAGTCATGCCATTGTAGGTATTGTTTTGCCTTTGCCGCCCATTATGATAAGTACGCTCACCTTGTCTTTGGTAATTCAATACTGCCACCTGACCCCTACTCCGAGGTCCTGTTACACCTATTACATTTACATTTAGTTTATGCAATTGAGCAGCAGCATCTCCAACTGTAAGATTCGGCATAAGGAAAAGAGCAAAAACAAAGCTCTTCAAACGTTCTGGTGTCTCTCTCAGTACTTTCCATCTTATAAAATGAATAAAAGGCGTGTCCTCTGGGCCCTCCCATTGTGGAGGACATACCAATTTGCCTGAGCCTTACAATCCCTTCATCAACACTAAGCCAAGGGATATCAGGTATCTCCAGCTCTCTGTCAGTAGGCCATCTTTTTATAAATACCTCAGCCAACCAATCAAATAAACTTTTAACTTTTTTTTTTTTTTTTGGACTTTTTGAGACAGGGTCTCCTTGTAGCACCTTGTCCTGGAACTTACTATGTAGACCAGGCTGACCTCGAACTTACAAAGATCCATCTGCCTCTGCCTCCCAAGTGCTGGGATTAAAGGCGTGCACCACCATGCCTGGCTTAACACCTTTTCTAACTGCAAGAGCTTCCAGTCAGGGGGCCCATGTCAATAAACTCAGTCTGATCCAGTTTTATGTTCCTTCCACCATTATCCCATACGCTTAAAATCCATTCCCAGACATATTCATTAGACTTCTGCTTGAATGAATTAGCAAATTCACTAAGTTCTTTAGTGGTGTAGCGCACCTCCTCATGGACCACACTTTCTATCTCTCCTCTAGGGGCCTGTTTAGCTTTGAGTCTGGTTATAGGTCTAGAGGCAACAACAACTGGGCCCTGAGGGACATCAGATTTGTCTCCCTGAATGGGATTAGTTTCCACAATGGGATTAGGCATGGTGGGGAGGGTGGGTCTGCTAAGGGTGGAGAGATTAATTCATCAGGTGAATCAAATTCCTCAGAGTCTGAGGATTCAAAGCCCTCAGCCTCCTCAGGGCTCTCCCACACATCTCCATCCCACGTGTCAGGATTCCAGTCTTTCCCTACCAATGCCCTCACCTTTACTGCTGACACCCTTTGAGGCTGGGAATTAAATTTGTGTTGTAGGTCAGCCAAACGTATAATAAGGGCTCCAGCTTGATTTTCTGCAGCTTTAGCTCTCTGGGTGCTGGAGAGAAGATTCTCTTCCAGGGCACACTTAGAAACTTTTAAACTTTTGATTCAAATCTGGAGCTTGTCAATTTTATCACTAAGCTCATTGTTTATCTTTATCACTTTATCCAGAGATGCTAGAAGTAACCAGCCAGCATCATTATTTTTCCACTAAATTTCTTGCTCTTCACAAGAGATGAGTTAGGAGATTCAAATGCGTCTATCTCCATAATTATTTCAAATAATTATGCGTCTATCTCCATAATTATTTCAAATAACCACAGATTTCCACTCCATGCTATCTGAAGACTCTGAGTTGGAGAGCTTGCTCCAAATACCAACAAGCCCATTATAGAAATTCATCCTTTCAATTCTGTTTCTCTAGAACCACTCCTGGTACCACAATCTGTATTAGTCAGGGTTCTCCAAAGAAACAGAACCGGTAGAATGAATATATATGTATAGAGATTTATCAACTTAGCTCACAGGATAGAGTCCAAGTAGTCCAACAATGGCTGCACCACACTGGAGGGGCTGAGAATCCATAGTCCCTCAGTCCATGAGGCTGGATGTGTCAGTAGTCCCAAGATGGTGCTGAAGGTCTGACAAATTCCAAAAGATCAGCTAGTCTTCAGTCTACAGCAGCAAGACGAACTCACCAGCGAGAGAGAAGGCAAGCAGCAAGAAGCCAGGCATTCTCCTCTGTCTTGGCCTTTTATACAGGCTGCCATCAGAAGGTAACCCACACATTTAGGGTGTGTCTTCCAGCTTCAGATGATCTAATCAAGAAGATCTTTCTCATTTCAGTTAATCCCAGATCCAGTCAAGTTGACACCCAGGATTAGCCATCACACTAGAATACTATAAGAACCTTAAGCGTTTGTGTGCTGGAGAGCTTTAGTGTCAACTTGACACACCTGGGTTGAGGGAGCCTCAATTAGGGAATTGCCTCTATTGGACTGTCTGTGGCCATGTCTGAGGGACATCTTCTTGATGAGTGATGTGGGAGGATCCAGCCCCCTGTGGGTGGTGCCACCCCTGGGCAGGTGGGCCTGTGTTGCCTAAGAAAGCAGGATGAGCAGAGGCCAGGAGAGCAAGCCAGTAAGCAGCGTTCCTCCATGGCCTGTGCTCCAGCTCCTGCCTCCAGGTTCCTGCCCCGAGTTCCTATCTTGGGCTCCCTGATGAACTGCGACCTGGGAGATGTAAGCTGAATAAACCCTTTCCTCCTCAAGTTGGTATTGGTCAGAGTGTTCTGTCACAGCAATAGAGAAACAATCTAAGACAGAAATTATGCTAAAAGAGTGCCAAATCCCTCCAGAGGTACTGAACTTGTTCCCGCCTGCCTTGACATGGACTCTGGGATTTCAGAGCAGCTCTAGGTAAGCAGACAGCAACTTAAAGAGAACACACCTACCAGAAGAGCAAGGGGAACAAAATGCAGGCAGGCACTTCCGGCCCTCCTCATCATCTCTATTCCTGTGCCTAGCTCATGGGGAACCCAGAAACTAAAAGTAGAGAGTGTCAAACTACCACAGAAAGCTAGTCTTCTTGAACTCGCAAAATTCCCATTGGTCAGTCCCAAGTCCCTTTCATGGGCTTGAGAAACAATGGCGTCTAGGTGCCACAGGTTTACATACTCAGTGTCAAATTGGCCCCCAATTTGAAAAGTCATTTCAGACGCAATTTCAATTCTGAAGAATCAAACAAGTGAGACTTTGGCTTATAAATGAACTAGGAAAACCCAAGCTTCCTCCTAATGATGTTTCTTTGATATCAGTTCTCTCCAAATCTCAATCTCATTTTGGAACAAAAACAGGCACAAATGAAACGATGCTGCAGCAGGACAGAACCCAGGCACAGGAGCACTGCTCATCCTTTTTCAGGAGAAAAAAGCACTCTTCCCACACAAAGTCAACACAGCAGACCCTACTGGCAACACGCAACAACATCAACTAAGCACCACTTTGTTCTGGGTTATGCTCCCCACTCCACACCCCACAGTGGGCCCATTCCTTCTTGCTTTGAAATTCAGCCATACCAAGGCCACCTCCAGCCAGTCCTGCTCACAGGCTCACAAGGCAGAGGTACTGTGATTTTTAATGAACTGAACTCAAAAGTGACCCACAAGGAATAATGAAATTATCCTGAGCAAACATAAACAAATGTAGTTCATTTATTTAGTATATTACATATGTATCATACGTATCTTTTTTTTGTTTGTTTGAAACAGGGTGTCCCTGTATCCCCAGCTGGCCTGGAATTCACTCTCTACATAGGCTATAGCTACAGGGTCTCCCTGTAGTCCCAAGTGCTAGGACTAAAGGTGTGCACCACCATGCCCAGTTACATATGCAACTTTTTATCTCTTCAGATTTTGTTTGAACCAAAAGGAGCTATAAGTGAAAATTACACTGGTCTGATAAATGGAAGTTACATTTCTGACCAAAGGTTCCCAGCCTAACTTCACAGAAATTATTAGGAACGCCAAATGAATCCATTTTATCCATAAATAAAATATTTTGGATAACATGACCTATATATAAACCAAACCAGGAAATTTGGTAGCCATTATCTCTCATTAGCAACTCGGTTGTGGGGGTAGGTGGGGGGTGGGGGTGGGGTGAAGAGGCTGGCACCACCCTGAAGAGCACAGGACCTCTGAGGCAGAGTGATGGCAATAGGAGGTGAGAAATGAGTAAAAGGTCAGGAGGAAAGACATCAAGGCCCAAGACCAGTGCTGCTCAGATGACTGGCCTCTGATAAAACAGTCACAGTCACAGGAAAAATCAGGAGGCTCCTCCTACTTCTCAATGGAAGGTTGCCTGCAGGATCCATATTCACCATTCGAAGTCCCACACACCACCCTGTCCTTGCATTCCAAATTACTAATTCATCACCTTTCTCTTCAAACACAGAACCCACCTCAGATCTGAACTACAAATTAAAAATCAAAAGCAGACTCATGCATAAAAGCAGAAACCGAGGAACTTTAAAGGCAGGTTTAGGGCTGGAAGTAAGCAGAAAGGAGTACCTGAGGAACAGTCTAGATCAGCATCATGGAAGACAGGGCAAGCAGGTCAGCTGGCAGCTGCTCTCACTGCCATAGGTCAGCAGACCTCCACAGACCTGTTCCCTCCTGATTCTATACTTAGTGGTCAGCAAGCAAATTCCCAGCACAGGTGGCACGAGGAAGCTTCCCACCAGGAGAAATTTATCAGCACATAGTAGCTTATATGAATTTGAATATTAGGTAAAATTAGCTTGTATTGTACAATCATTTCTAGATGCTAAACATCATAGTTTCAGCAGATCCTTAGACATTTAAGACTTAGACTACAGAAAGAAAGAAGAAAAGAAGAAGAACAAGAAGAAGGAGGAGGAGGGAGGGGAGCCTTTTCTATTTTCTCAACTTCTGTACCATTAGGGACAGCCAATTATATTAGTTAATAAGAGGAAATACCTGATCGAGCAATACCACTGTCCCTGTCTTCATTCTGTCCTCTGCTTGGCATGTCAACTGGTGTGCTGTGTGCTATGACAAAGATGCAAGGAAAACATTATTAGGCTCTCCAAAGATGAAAAGACACTTTTAAATGACTATAGTAATTTTTAGATTTCAAAGTAGGTCATTGGTCATTGGTGATTGACCTAATATACAATAGAGATTTAACTAGCTAGCAAAATCAAACAAAGAAAGATGGGAAAATAAGAAACAAAACCAATAAGCCATTTCCCCTTCTCTACTGGGGCCTGTAGACTCTTCTGAATAATAGTCAAATCTTAAAAAAAAAAAAAAAAACTTGTATAATAACCTATCCATGCGGTTAATATACTCAACATTCTCAGGGGATATTTTTAGCCATTTTCTTCATTTTTAGTAATATTTAAACAGTACATTATTTTCGAAATGCTTTAAATTAGTTTCCATAATGGCTATAGGCAACTTAGGGAGAGAAATAGATAAAACCCATTCCATAAACTGAAAAATGTTTATAATCCACTCTCTTGGCACACAGAAAAACATTCATTTTCTAGTATGTCTTTCCCCATTTCTTCTCCATATGCACCCATGCAGGGTGTTACTGAAGTTACTCAGAAAAACTCATGTCCTGGTATGAATTTTGGAAAACATGTTTTAGACTTCTAGAAATGCTTCAGAATGACTAAGCTCCATATTTACTAAGCGAGAAGCTAAACACTGTTCTAGTGAGTTTTAAAATGGACAAGAATCCCAGAGCCATGACTGAATACAGTACCTGCCAGCTATCTTTGAAATATGCTTGTTTTCAAAATTTTTAAGAGCATATATATAACATTCTATCATTCAATGTAGGTGGAAGGGTTTCATTTTCACTACGTATCATATAGCCATGGGGCTTAGCATATTTCAAGCTATAAAAAAGAATAGAATAAAAAAGTGCCCTTTGCCTTACTAACACCTAAAATGTTAGTAATGAAGAATCCCCACACTTGTTAATCATGCCAAGACTACAACAGACATTTAATAGCCTTTGCTGGCAAAGCCAGGTAAATGTCAAAACATACACGGTATATCAAGATGACTGTACCTGTAAGGAACCTAGAAATTTCATTTAAATGATTTGAATGAGTTAATAAATGGGGGGGGGGAGGTGAATATATGTGTGAAGGTGAAAGGGTGAGAGAGAGAGAGAGAGAGAGAGAGAGAGAGAGAGAGAGAGAGACTGAAATCTTCCATGCTCTAATTAGATGACTTTTAGAGATACCCCATGCAGGTAACGATGCAAGTGCATAAATGGATAAAAACACCTCAGAAAGTGAAACAGACCACAGTGGCAGAAGATGCCTGGGAAAAATCAGGAAAAAAAAATTAATTCTCTTAGAAACACTAAGGGCTTGTTTCAAATAAAAAATCAGCTTATATTGGGTTAATAGCAAAGACATTTACAACAGAGGTTCATGGGTGAAACTTTCAGAATAGCATGAATTTGACTGCATTTGAAACCAGTATCTCTCGCTACAAAAGCCCTTTGCGTTTCTAGAGAAGAATAAATAGGATTTTTTTCTAAGAACCTGCACAGGATTTACTAACATGTGTGGGCCACACTGTGCTCAGCATTCCACACAAACCTGCAAAGAAAGAAGCACTCCGGGTGAGCCGGAGAGGTCCTCCTTCAGCCACCCCCTGCAGCAGTTTGCTGCTGCACGCCTGCAGTAGACCTAAAGCAGAAACACACAGAAGACGCAAACAAAAGTACACACATACAAATAAACAGATTAAAAATAATGCAAAACTAAACCAAAACACAACAAACTCAAATAAAGCAAAACACACCCCCAATAATGGCACTCATAGAAGAAATCTGTTTGTGTGTCTTGTTTTACCTAAGTTACTTCCAGGACGACAAGGACCCAAAGTATTCTGATTTGTGCTCAGTTTTCCAGCATGAGGATCTTGGTTGATATATTCAAAGCTGTCTTGCAAGCTAAATAGAGAGGGGGAGGGGGAAAGAGAGAAACATCAAGAGGCTAATAAAGTTGTTTTCTAGTAAATTCCTAAATATAGACAACAACTAATCACTTACTCAGTATTTTTTGTTATAAACAATTAAATTTTCATATGTGCCAAAGGGAGTTAAATAGCTATGGTGGGGGTCATTTGTTGGAGAAAAACAAAAACTGTTTGGAAGGGGCCAATTTATACAATTACCTGTACAACTGCATTGCTAACCATTTCGCTGTCTGTAAATGGAATGCCAAGCTCTGTGTTTCAGTGACTGACAGCTTCTATAATGCTATTCATTTTAAAATTTCATTTGTAATTTTTTGTTTCAGAAACTGATACCCAAGAAGTTGCTATTCATTTCAAGGGTTTTAGATAAACACTCAAAATGAAATTAATTTTAACTCTTGGTTAACATCTATGACTATTCACCAACCTTTCTCAGGAGAAAGATAGATTAGAAATGGTGATCCTCTCACTTGTAAAATGTTAGAATTATTCATAAAAAATATGAGTCAAATAGATTTTTAAATGTATTTTTTAGCAAGAAACTAAGTATCAACAATCTGAAGATCATATAGCATAATGAAGCCAAAATAGTTTTTACTTAAATCTCAGCTCAATATTTTATTATATAGGGCATTTGTGTGACAAATATTTAGGTTATCCCAAGGATCAGGAAAAAAAAAATCTCAAAAAAAAAAAACCAGTATCAGTCAGGTACTGTGGTGCATACTATAATCTCAGCACTTAGGAAGTAAAGGCATGAGGATCTTGTATTCCAGGCCAGCCTAGGCTACATAGAGAGACCATGCCTCAACAGCCTCACCAAAAAAATAAGAAATAGACATCAATTCCCACATTGGTTTAAGTCATGACAGTTCAAAAGTAAGCACCCAAACTATTGTTGAAAGGTAAGAAAAGACTTGTTCAATGGTACCAAAATATGCAGAGGAATATATATTTAATTCTCTAAGGCTGTAAGGGAAAACAGATCTCACTTGATCTCTAAGCCTTCCCCTTAAGTTATGTGATTTAAGTTTATACATTTATCAAAAGTGTAACAAATGATTTTTTTCCTACTAAAAAATGTAAGCTGAGCATGGTGAATCTTGTCTATAATCCCAGCACTCAAGGGTTGAGATTGGAAGTCCATGAGTTCAAGACTAGCCTAGGCTACACAGTGAGTTCCAGGTCAGTCTAGGCTATATGAGTTCAAGGCCAGTCTGAGATACATAGTTCCACATCTGCCTAGGCCTATAAAAAAGAAAGTTTACCAAATATCTCTATTTCAAAGTTCAAAATGCATAAAGGAATGTTTCAATGTAGGTGTTTGGACATTTCAGTATTCTAGTCTACACAAAGTATAAAAAGAAGAGGAAAACCAAAAGTGAAAATAAAAAGATTGCATGGCTAAGTACTACCAAGTCACAAAGGCTAACCTGACTGTTTAGGACAGGTGGCCCCACCCTACAGCCGGGAGAAACTTTGTACACTTCAGTCCTTTAGAGGGAAATAAATGAAGCTGGGAATGGTGGCTCACACCTATAACCTCAGTCCTTAGGAGGCTGACAGGAGCATTATCATGAGTTTGAGGAGAGGCTGGGCAAGAAAGTGAGACCCTGTCTTAAAAACACAAAGCAGCCCTCTCCTCTTCTCCCTTTATTTTATATTTCCCTGAAAATTAAAACATGATGCTTGGTAATAGGAACTTAGGGAATGATTGGTAGAGACCCAAAATAAGAAATAACTTGCCAGGATAGGCATATAACTCAATTCACAGAGTATTTGCTTAGCATGCATGAAGCCCTGGGTTCAATCCCCAGCATCCTATAAAACTGGGTGTGATGGCACACATCTGTTATCTCTGGACCTAGGAGGCAAAGGATCAGGAATTCAAGGTCATCCTCAGCTACATACTGAGTTCTGAGTTTGAGGCCAGCCTCGACTAAATGAGACCCTGTCTCAAAAGCAAACAACCAAAGTCATCTGTCTCTAGGGTCACCTGAAAAAGTCAAATGGTTTTCCCTACTTGCTGTTACTAGAAAATGCCTAAAACCCTTTGCTAATCTGTACTTACTTTGCTCCTCATTTCAAAATCTCTTACTCCCCTCAAAGAATTACTCTCTAGAAGCTGATACAAAAACATAGGAAAATGGTGCAAAGCCACACTTACTTATTTGTACTTCCACAGAAGCTACCCATTCTAGCAGAAAAGACTTTACTAATCATCAGTTGTGGAGGAGAGCTAAAAAAAAAAAAATGAGAGGGGAGAAATGTGCTTTTTAAATTAAGAAGTCAACATTACTATTCTACTTCTCACAACTAGAAGAAGGGCAGCCTCACCGTATGTAGTGTATCTTTAAGGTGGAGCCTTTGTAACTCATGGCAACTGAGCCAAACATCATTTCCCCAAGCATGTTGACATCAGAAGCTGGTCTTGTGTACTGCATGAAAGAAATCAAAGTCAAGGTTAGTGCATGGCATAGACCAATGCAATAGAAAGCAGGGTCTGCTAATCCCTGCTTGAGGTGGGTCATCACAACACTTTCTTAAAGTTACAATGATCATCTATTGTAGCAATCACTTCCTTTACTCCTCAAATATTACTGATGTCTTTGATTTATTCTTTATATATAGTATGTTCATACAGAATCCTAGTATTTGATAAAAATTCTTTTTTAATATTATTATGGGAAACAAAGATTATCGCCATCTCCGTTTAGTAACTCTAAATATGAAGGAAACAGGGTAGTTCTTCTTTTGGTACTGAGGAAATTCTGAAAAGAAATACGGCTCCATGTTATTCAACTAAATAATTACTGATGTTTATTAAAAGTTCTGAGTACAAGTAGGACTTCTGTGAAGGTTGAAAAGATAATAGATGGTCTTGGTGTCCTAAAATTTTATTAAATATTTCAAAAGCACTTCCAACTCTTGACCAGTCTCTCTCATGCTTTTTATCTATCTATTCATTTGAAGGAAAAGGGTAATAAACACCAGCTTTTGACCAAGGTGGTCTGGCTCTGCCTGACTGAGTCTGTCTCCTGTACTGGTGACTTCTACTATCCACTTTCCACCTTTCTTCAAATCCAGTAGACTACCATTCCAATTTGCTTTATCAAACTTTTCTTACTTTATTTGATACTGTTAATTACCCTCCTGCTCAAATCCCTTCTCAAACCATTCCCTGAATACGGCAGTGACCTGCATTTCCCACCACTCTTCTGCGTTATTATTTACACAATAATACCTCCTATATCTTTATATCTAGGTCCAGAGGTCTTCTTGAGCACTAAAATGCATCACAATGCACATGGGCACAAGATCTTAGAACCTGTGTTCAGTCTTGGTGACATACTACTGAACAAGACAGATAAGAATGTAAAACAAATCAGTGAGCTACAGGCACACCAGCACAGCCTGACTGAAACCAAACAGTAGTCTCTCAGAATTCCATCCTTTAGGCAGACTCTGCAAGTATTCTCTCAGCTTAAAGAAAACTAAAGGCAGCTTCTTCAACAAGTTTTCCTAAATCTCTTCATTGTTTTAAACTCTAATATGCACAAGT